TAGTGTACAGGACCTTAAGTGGAATCCTGAGACCCATCCAGAACCTTCTGAGGTGGGACATTTCCACTTGAAAGGACAAGCAGCCTACCCTGGAGCAGCTAGAGGAACAGAAGATACTTCTTGAAAGAAAGACCAGCAGGGAAAATTAAAAAAAACAAAAATGGCAGTCTGATTGGCTACTACAAGAACAAGCAAGTTGTTTGCTGGGGAGTCATCAAGGCAAGCAATCAAGTCCTTTCAGGACAACCCCCCTCTAAGACTGAAACTCAAAGGGAACATATCAGCAGGCATACAAGCTTGCCGGTGACCACACTGATCTACTGATGAGTGGAAGAGGGGAAAGGCAGCAAAGAAGACATAGGCTGAGTTCAACCATGATCCATAGACTGTCGACCTGGAGATGAGAGAGAGAAGAGGAAGGGATAGTTGGTCCATAGTATGATGACACCTGGGACTCCTGTGCCCATGGACAAGGACATAGCCATGGAGGGCTAGAGTGGAGAGTGAAGCATTCAGCTGATATGAAGTGAAGGGAGACATACAAGAACACCCAGGCTTGTAGATAGTACCCATTCAACTGAGCTGCAATGACTTGATGATCAGAACTCAACTAGAGGAAGATAAAAAAAAAATTTTTTTGATAAAGGAAACAAGTGTAAATTGCTACAATTTGATGATCTTGACCTATATTTATGGATGTAGTAGCTCAAAATAACAACCGAGAGGGAAGGAGTCTTCATATCAAGGATCAATCCTATCCCTTCTGTATACAGGGTTGATAGGGACAGTCAACTTAGACATTGGCTACCTAAAATGGGGGGTGGGGGAGGGTGGTTTAAAAGACACCGAGTGGCTGGCTTACAAGTTTTCAAGAGGGAGTTTAGTTTCAGAGTGTGGGGATTCAGAATCCCCACTGAATAGTTTTCATCTTGTCTAGATGGGTCTGGTGAAAGGAGATGGAATAAGATTCTTACGATTCAATAGTGAATAATTGTTATCATGACTAATTGTGATTGTCACAACTGTAAAGGTAGAAATTTTGTAACAAAAAGGGGGGAGTAATCTTACTGTCTGGGAACAGAGAACCCTGGGATCATCAAGGGTGAAGGGCATGAGCAGAGTGTGGGACCCTATCCAGAGAAACAGTGACACCAGAGATGGAGGTAGATGTGATGACAGAGAAACAAGAGCAGCTGAGGACTCTAGACTCATGGAAAGAGAAAGGCTGTGTGCTGGCGACCAGGAGGTA